AGCACCTAATCTTTCTGAACCTCAGTTTCCTTAAATGTAGAATGGTGGGGGCGCCTGGGTAGCTCAATTGGTTGGGCGTCTGACTTCGGCTCAGGTCAAGATCTCACACTCTGCGAGTTTGAGCCTTGCATCGAGCTCTATGCTGACAGCTCAGAGCCTGGAGCCTGCTTCCAATTGTGTGTCTCCCTCTCTCTCTGCCCCTCCCCTGCTCATGCCCTGTCTCTCTCTGTCTCAAAAATAAATAAAAACATTAAAAAAATTCTATTTTAAATGTAGAATGGTGATAACAACCTTGCTTACTTCATAGTATTATTCAGAGGCGCAGAGGATACGGAAGCAAAATTCTTGTCCTTTTAGCTGCCCTGAACCCTAACAAGGGAGTTGGACAAGCAGACACACACAGTGCAATATGTACCAGACCAGAGGCTTGTCTGGGCAGCAAATAGTGAGCAGAGTGGAGGCAAGCTAATTTTATCTAGTAAGGGGAAATGGCAGGGCTTCCTGTCCATGCCATGGGATGTGGGGTATGGAAGCAAGTTTCCCGAGCTTTGGACTGGTGTTTGTTGAATACCAGACACTATATTATTTTACCCATGTTTTATTTAGTCCTCACAACAACCCTATTAGATAGGTTTTATAGATAAGCAAACTGAGGCTTAGAAAGGATCATGCATTGGGGCCCCTGGGTGGCTTAGTCAGTTGAGCATCCGACCTTTGATTTTGGCTCAGGTCATGATCCCAGGGTTGTGGGATGGAGCTCTGCATCAGCCTCTGTTCTGAGCATGGAGCCTGCTTAAGATTCTCTCTCTGTCTTGCTCTGCCCTCTCCTCGGCTCACTCTTTTTCTCAAATTAAACAACAAAAAAGAATCATGCATTGCCTTGGCATAGTATTTATTGAACATCTACTAGTTGTGTTGCAGATATAACAGTACACAAAACAGACTCAAGTCCCCCACTTATGGAGCTTGCATTCCATAGGTAAAGTCACTTACCCAAAATGAGACTGGAATGTGCCAGAGCTGGGATTCAAACCCAGGTCTGGTGGCCTCCTGGGCTTGTTCTTTTCCCACCTTACCCCCGCAACTCACTGCTCCTCAGGACACTCCTCTCATACGGGGCATAGACTGCCCCTGCCAGCCCTTCTGGGGAATTCAAGGGTTCAGGAGCAAGGCTAGGTCAGAGATAGGAGAGGAGCTGCCATTTCTGTAGAACCTTCTGTGTTCCAAGCCTTCCCTGGCAGCCCCCCCCCCACCCCCAAAGAAAGGCTGAATGCCTGATCTCTTGGATATTTTCCCCAGGGAGGGATGGAAAGGGGAGCTTCCCCAAGGGGATTTCAAGGGAAGGCGGGAGTGCTCTTTATGCTTGCATCAGAAGGAGACACCCTCTTCTTGGCTCAGGTGGGGAATCCCTCTGTTTTGCACTGGGTTTAAGAGAGGCCTATTGTTTTCCTATTGTTCAGGCCCTCTAGGGAGGAAAACTCAGGACCAGGGTATATCTGAGGATTGCATCAGCTTTTGGCATCTGAGTGAGCTCTGGCTCCTTGGTACTTGGCTCAGCTCTGCCCTTCGACTGTCCTCAGCTTCAGGCTGCTTCCTGATGCCATGAGACCCATGACACTCCCACTGGCCAGTGATGGTTTCTTTTAACCCAAGAAAATAATCAGTGATTTGCAAACCTAGTCCACTAAGGGAGGGAAAAAAAGATGCAAGATTATTTACTATAGCATTTACTCCTAGTAGCAGTCACTTGGAAATGATCTAAATGGCTGGTGTTTGGGGTTTAAATAAAGTATGGCAAAAGTATGCATTCAATGGAATGCTGTATAGCCTTTAAAAATCATCATGTAGGGTCTCCTGGATGGCTCAGTCAGTTGAGCGTCTGACTTCGGCTAAAATCATGATCTAGCAGTTCCCAAGCTTGAGCCCCCAAGTCTGGCTGGAGCCTGCTTCGGATTCTGTGTCTCCCTCTCTCTCTGCCCCTCCCCTGCTCACGCTCTGTCTCTCTGTCTCTCTCTCAAAAATAAATAAACATTAAAAAATTTTTAAGAATCATCATGTAGAAGATTAAATGACATCAGAAGAGTGCTTATAATAGTTTTAGTCAAAATTCGTAACTGAAACAGTGTACCCAGAACAGAATGGACAACCTGATCTCATTTTTAAACACTATATGTAGGGGCGCCTGGGTGGCGCAGTCGGTTAAGCGTCCGACTTCAGCCAGGTCACGATCTCGCGGTCCGTGAGTTCGAGCCCCGCGTCGGGCTCTGGGCTGATGGCTCAGAGCCTGGAGCCTGTTTCCGATTCTGTGTCTCCCTCTCTCTCTGCCCCTCGCCCGTTCATGCTCTGTCTCTCTCTGTCCCAAAAATAAATAAACGTTAAAAATAAAAAAATAAAAAAAATAAACACTATATGTATGTATGCATAGAAAACTGTCTATAAGGATGCATACCAAGTGTGAAGAGTAGTTATCTCTGGGTGGTAGGATTGTAAGTGATTTTTTTTTTCCTCTTTTCAATATTTTCCAATTCCTTCAGTGAAAATGCATGTCTTTTGTAATTATGGAGCGAAAATCCCACAGTATATATTAGAGAAGAGAAAGAGAATGTCTCCTTTTGGCCCTGTGCTTAGATGACCACAGGCCCCAGCCAGCTCTGGGAGATCTGAAAGCCCAAGAAGAGTAGGGTAGGGGCCAGCTTGAGAACTAGCTGGGTGCCATCTCCCAGAGAGGCTGCCTGACCACACAGTCTGGCTGAAGGAGGCCCCTCCCATGCTTTCTCCCCCTCTCACACCCATTTTATTGTCTTCATTGTATTTGTCCACATCTGAAATGACCTGCCTGTGCATCTGTCTCTTGAGTGATTATCTCCACCACCACAAAGCAAGCTCCATGAGACCAGGGACGCTGCCTATCCTGTTCCCTTTGACTTCCCATCAGCACCAGGGGCCCAATTGAGATCTTGGTTTGTAAGTGGCAGAGGGCATACTCAGCAGCCCCAAGCTGTGGACATTGATCTTAAAGCCACAGGTGACAGTAAGAAAATGGGAACTACTTCATGTAATTTTGGAAAAAGGCAGATAGGTGGCTCACGGGGCCAGAACTGGAGGAAGCTCAGTGACCTGGAGAACCTGGTTCAGCTTGGTGACCATGGCTGCCACTGACACGTGTTGGGGGAGTGTGGCTTTGTGCGTTATATTTTATAAACTAGTGGAGTGAAGGTAGAAGCAATTTATCTGATCATCACTTACCCCTTTGCTTTCCAGTCTCCTGCTGCTGCCAGCTCACTCTGTCCTTCAGGCTGATGACTTCAGCTCTTCTCTTTTGAGCCTGTTGCAGTCAGGTTCCCATCCCAAAACCATTCCACTGAATCTGCCCTCGACCAGGATCAACTGTGACCCTATGATGCTAAATCCAAGGATTAATTCTGTGACTTGACCTATCACAATGGATTGCTCCATCCTCCTTGAAACCCTTTCTCCTGGTTTCTCTCCTACTGTACTTGCTACTCCTTCTCAGTCTTTTTTGCTGAATAATTGAATGGGACTCATTCCTTAGACTGACCGTTTCCCTACTGACAGTCACCCCCTTGGTGATCTCATCCTGGGTCATTGCTTTAAAGAGCTATGTGATGAGTATTTGCAAGTCTTCATTTTGGGCCTGGATCTCTCCCCTGAACTCATATATCCAACCTGCCCACAGGGCTCTCCAACTGTCTAAAAGGCATCTCCTACTTAACATGTCCAAAACCAAGTTCCTTATCTTCCCCCAAACGTGCTCCATCACTAGGCTTCTGCAAGGCAGATAATGGCAATTCTGGACTCCCATTTGCTCAGGCCAAAAATCTCAGAGCCCTATCTGAATTCTTTATTTCCAATCTACTTCTAATCCATGAGCAATTCCTGTTGGCTCTACTCAATAGAATCTGATCATATCTGAATACCTCCATGCTGCCTCTCTAGTCCAAGTTATCGGTGTCTCTTGCCACAATTTCTGCAATAACCTCCTAACTGGTTGGTTCTACCTGTGCTGCCCAGTTTATTCTCAACACAGCATCCAGAGTGGCATTGTTAAAATGTGAGTCACATCATTGCAATTCTCTGTGTAAACTCTCCAGTGGCTCCCATCTGAGTCAAAGCTCAAGATCATTAAAGGGCCTTCTTTTAGTGCCCTACATGTTCAGAGCTTTGCTGCCTCTCTGATTCTCTTTCTTACTTCCCCTTCACTCACTCTCCTCTGGCCACCTCACCCTTTCCCACTGATCTGTACCATGTCAGGCAGGCTCTCACATCTGGACTTTTGTACATGCTGTTCCCTCCACTTGGAAATCTTCTTTCCTATTAAATGTCAGGGTCCTTGCCCTCATTTCTTTCAGGTCTTTGGTCATAATTCACCTTCCCTGGCCATACTGTTTAGAATTTGGTGCACTTTCCCACCTGCTCCATAGCTCCCTTCCCCTTCTCTGCTCTATTCTTCCTCCAGAGCACTTTCCTCTCCTGACTACTATATATTATATATATATATATATTTTTTCTTTCTTTGGTTGTTGATCTCCCCTAGTAGACTGAAAGCTCTCTGAGGGCAGGGTTTTTATCTGTTTTGTCTCCTGCTGTGTCTCCAGGGCCTGAAAACAGTGCCTGGCATATAGTTGGTGTCGAATAAATATCCGATGAATGGATATATGACTAAAAATACATGAAAGGATGACTTACTGTTTATAAAAGGCCTTTGAGACAAGGTAGAAAGATCACTGAGTTTCCTGCTGGCATAGGAGCATTAATAGACTCAGTGTGAAAGAAATGCCCCAAGTGGAGAATGCCCCTCTGTGGAAATCATGATGCCTGTGTTTGACCTGGGCCAGCGTGCAGCCAGCTCACACCTCAGTGGCTTCCGAAGAACTCACCACAGATGAGCACACCCCACTTCATTTCCACCCAGGCCTCTTTTACCCCAAGGCCTGCCCTCAGCGCACTGCCTCAATCATTTACTTTCCTTTTTTTTCCAGGTGCCAGGGTTTGCAGCCTATTGGAGTAAAACAACATCAAGGTAAGAGAACAGTAAGACTGTGTCTCTTTTGGGACTTCCCAACTTAAAGGGTCTTGGAAGATATTCAAGGAAGACTAGAGTATTGAAAGTGTTGGCAGCTGGGTAACACAGGGGACTCATGTTGACTTCCTGGGTAGAGCGTGGGCACCGGGGACGGTGAGTCCAGCTCAGTGTTGAGCTGTGAATCATCAGAGGTGGCTGCAAGGTCTTTAGACCCAAGAAGACCTCCCCCAAACCAGTCATTTGTGCCCACAGCCTGGCTCTCCTGCTCTGCTTTCCTTACCTCCCTCCAGGCCTCTGTCCTTCATCCCTCGCTCTTCTGCCAAACCTACTGAAGTCGGGGTGTCCTGGGTTTTTGTTTTTGTTTTTGTTTTTTTCAGCAAGGATGGTTTAGGTCTAGATCCAGAGAAATATAGGATGCTTCCTGCGTAGGAGTTATCTGATTCTGTGTTAAATGTGGTCTAAATTTCAAAGAATGAAAACACTCAGTAAATAATGGATGGTAGGGAAATGTGTACCAATGTGTGTGTACTGCTGACTTGATTCAAAAAGGGGCTTTTTAAAACCAGTGTTAAAAATGTGTCCAGGCTTTGACCAGGCAATTCTACTTTTTGGAATTTATCCTAGGAAAATAATCACAGTTGTGCAAAGGTATATATGCAAAGGTTATATATTTATAACCACATTGTTTTATAATAGAAAAAAAAAAAAAGAGAAAGAAACATTGGAAAGCCCAAGAAAAAGGAATTGGTCCTTTAAAACCTGGCACATCCACACAAGGGCACATCATGCAGCAGAACGACCTAGGTGTATACTTACTGGCAAGAAAGACATTTGCATATATTGCTAAGTAAAGGGAAAAAAAAGGAAAAAGAAAAAATGAATAAAGCTTACAAAACATGCAAGGCAAGTGGCTTGGGACTCAGGCTGGAGGGTTGAAATCCAGATCAGTCTCTTAACCCGTGTGGGAACTCAGGCAAGTGATGTGATCTCCCTGAGCCTCTACTACCTGCCAGTAAAATGGGCATCATAACATGGTTGCAAGAACTGGATGGGAGTAACACATCTAAAGGCCTCAGCACAGGGTCCGGCCTGGGTTGAGGGCTCAGCAGCTGGGTACCCAGATGAGATGTGAACCAGTAATATTTCTGCCAGTGTATAAGCCTGGAAACATTCTGGAAATTCATAGACAAGTAATGGTTTTATTTGGCTGGTAGAATTGTGGGTGATTTTTAATATTTTCTTATTTTTCTACAAGGAATACTTGTTACTTATTTAACAATGAGGTAATTTTTAAAAGAAGTAACAATGGGAAAGATTAAAAGAAAAAAAAAAAAAACAAACCCTGCCTTGCTTTGGGCAGGCAAGCCAGCTGAGCAGCCCCTGGGGCAAAGCCCTGAAGGAATGAAGGAGAGGCAGGAAGGAGAGGGAAGGGGGAGGGAGGTGGGTGAAGGAAAGAACAAAAAGGACCCTTAGACCTGATGGCTAGTGCCCAAGGAGATGTACCTCAGAGTTAAGATTCAAACCCTACAGGCATGTTCCCCACTTTGACAGCTCCTGGGGAGGTCCTGGTAGGAGATACGGTGACTCAAGTCCCATCTGCCCCATGAGATGATGAGGAGTGTGTGCAGCCACCTCTGGCAGCTGAGCACATGACAGGAGGGGCCCTGGGCCTTCAGAAACCCAGCATATTGTCCACATCCAGAGTAGGAGAGACCGGAAATCCTAGTGAATTCCTAAATTCCTAAAAGGATGACTAGCTCCCCTTTCCTTTGGCAGCCTGGCAGGATCCACGCTCAAGAGCAGGATTTCCCAAGCAAATACAGCCTGCTGGGAAAGGGAGCCAGTGACTGGTGACCCCCAAAGATTTACTTGCCAGCTCCTATCCCCACCCCCACCCACATCAATGAGGTGCCAATTTATTCAGCATTTCTTGGGGCAGGGATCATCCACCTAAGTGAATTCTCCAAGTAATCAAACTCAGTCCCATCACGTTGCAATGTTTAATTAATTTGTTTTATCAAAATCATGCATGCATATGGTTTATATATCAACAGTACAGGAAGCTTGTAATAAGGATTGCCTCCTTACCTTTCTTGGTGCTTCTCTCTCTCTAGAGAAGCCTCTTTCTACTCTTCATTAGTTCCTATTTCTGTTCATACTGTTATTTCTTGATTTGCCAATTTTAGACATCTGTTGACTTCTTGTGGGAGACAAAAATTAAGCTTTCCTACAAAGCTGCTTCCAGTTCTCCTCCCTCCATCTCCCAGTAAGAAGATAACATGATTTTTGGTTGACTCAGTGGTGACTGCAGACACATTATTTGCTGCTGAACTAAGTGGTGTGTTATGTGTCCTTGAGGTCTCGGGGGAAGATATCTTATATCTTTGATAATTTTCTCCCCTTTATTTTACCTGTTGGTAAACTGCTAACTGCTGTTACCAGTTGGTAAACTGGTAAACTGGTAAATTGGTAACTGGATTACTCTTCTGATATTCTTATATTTTTTATTTCCCTTCCCTTTGCCTTTTGGGTCTACTTTCTTGGGAAACTTTACTTGACTTTATCCTCCAACCATTCTGCTGATTTTGTCTTAATTGTGGCCTTCATATTTTTAATATACAAATATTCATGTTTTCTGTGCCTTTTTTCATAATATCACATTCTTGTTCTATAGATATGCTATTGCCCTCTTATCTCTCTGAAGGAGTTATTTCTTTTTCTTTTGTTTATTTGTTTTGTTTTATTTTTAAAAAAATTTTTTTTTCAACGTTTATTTATTTTTGGGACAGAGAGAGACAGAGCATGAACGGGGGAGAGGCAGAGAGGGAGACACAGAATCGGAAACAGGCTCGAGGCTCTGAGCCATCAGCCCAGAGCCTGACGCGGGGCTCGAACTCATGGACCGCGAGATTGTGACCTGGCTGAAGTCGGACGCTCAACCAACTGTGCCACCCAGGCGCCCCCTTTTTTTTTTTTATTTTTTTTCCAACATTTATTTATTTTTGGGACAGAGAGAGACAGAGCATGAACGGGGGAGGGGCAGAGAGAGAGGGAGACACAGAATCGGAAACAGGCTCCAGGCTCTGAGCCATCAGCCCAGAGCCTGACGCGGGGCTCGAACTCACAGACCGCGAGATCGTGACCTGGCTGAAGTCGGACGCTCAACCGACTGCGCCACCCAGGCGCCCCTGTTTTGTTTTAATATTCTTCTTTTCTCTTTGTTGCCTTTATATCCACCTAGCTACTTTTTGTTTGTTTGTTTTCTCTCTTTCATGTTGGAGGCTTTCCTCAAATGTCACATGTCGTGGCTGCCTGTTAATATTTATGAATGATGCAATAAAAAGTATGAATCAAACTGTGTTTGGGAACAACCTATCAGCTGGGGCTTTGCTATAGGTAGCAAGCCAGCCTTTTCGTTAGCAAGCCAGCCTTTTCGTTAACAAGCCTCAAAATGCCACACTCTTCTCTGAAGCTAGGTTTCTCGATCTTGGTGCTGTTGATATTTTAGGACAAACAATTCCTTATTGTCAGGGGCTCTTGGGCACTGTCGAGTGTTTAACAGTATCCCTGAACTCTACGTCCAGATGCCAGTAGCAGCCTCCCTTCATGGAGTTGTGATAACCAAAAATGTCTGTCAACATTGCCAGATGTCACCTGGGGCCCAGATCACCCCTTTGAGAACCACTACTTGAGCCATTCTGCTTTTCAAGAGAAGCACTCTGACTCCTTGTTCCCGTTACTTATTACTGCATAACAAATCACCCCAGAACTTAGTAGCATCAACAACAGCCGTTTTGTTATTCTGCAAGTCAGAAATTCAGAAAAGGCACAGCTCTTCTCTGCTGCACCACGTCTGGGGCCCTGGTTAGGATGACTGAAATGACTGGAGGCTTGCGTAGCTGGGATTTAGAACAGCTGGGGCTGAAAGATCCACTTTCAAGATGGTTCTCCACTTGGCAGGGATAGCGGGAAGCCTGGACTCAGCTGGGACTGGTGACTGGGGAGACTGCACATGGCCTCTCTAGCATCCAGCCTGGGAGTTGGGCCTCTTATGTGGTAGCTCAGGGCTCCAGTGTGAATGCTCCAGCCAGCAACATGGGCGCTGCATGGCTTTCTGCTGCCTGGCCTTGGAAGTCACATGGCATCACTTCCACTGTAGTCACAAGACTACATAGATTCAGGGAAGGAGACTGACACCCACTTCTCAGAGGAAGATGTGTCAGAAAAATTTGCAGCCATGTTTGAAATTCGCCACACTCCAGAATGGGGTGATATATGCCTGGGGCACGGTGCAGTGTGAAGAGTAGGGACATTGACTCTCACCCTTCATTCTCCAGACTTTCCCCTCATCCCCCATTTGCAGCCTTGTGTTCATCTGCCATCTCTTCTGCCTGAGCCTCTCCTGTTCAGGGTCTTCAGTCACCTGCTATGTGGGATGGAGTGTGAGGTGGGATCTAGGAGGATATCCCTGGTTCCTTACCCCACTGCTTCCTATACCTGACCACCACCATCATAATACTTAATTTCTCTCAAGTGTGAGTTGCTCCAGGGTTCTGAGGGTGAAGGGGCTTGCCTCCTGGCAACATCCCCTTCTGCAGTCCCTAGGAGACCAGCTTCCTCCACCTACTTTCTGCCTTTCTGGAGTGTGCTAAAATCTTATCCATTGATGTCTCTTTTACCATTCTCTTTGCACTTGAAGGGTTATATCTTTCTTTTCTTTTTTAAATTTATATCTAATTTATTTTTTAAGTTCTTATTTAAATCCCAGTTAACATACAGTGTAAAATTATTTTCAGGTGTACAATATAGCGATTCAACACTGCCATACCTCACCTGGTGCTCATCATGACAAGTGCATTCCTAATGCCCATTGCCTATTTCACCCATTCCCCCCACTATACCATTTTATTTCTTGACTGGCATTTTAGCAGCTCTTCAGGAGAGAAAGAAGATTAGGACATGTGACTGACCTGACGTGTTAACTGTAAGCCCTGTTGTACTTCTTTTGGAATGAGATACATCTCTACCTTGTGTTATCATCTTCCCTGCCCTGAAAGCTCTGTTCAGTAGTGCAGTGACCACATTCAACCCTTTGCTGGTAATTCAGAGTCATGTTTATAAACATACATGTGTACCTTGGAATTATTAGGCTATGTAAGAGCAAGTTGTCCCTCCATGATAGGGACCAGGATCACTGCATTTAAATCCCTTGAACCCTTTTTGTGGTCATCTCTGTCTCGGGCTGTCTCTTGTCCCATTTATTTATGGTGAGAATGCCACATTACAGCACATTAAGTTCTAATCAACTGTTTTTCAGTGGCTAAACCTGATGACAGTGCACGGGATCCCTGGCCCCACCCATTTTCTACCCTTCCCCACACCTTGCAGGATTTGACCTTTGTGGAATTTATCAACCAGTGCTTCCAGTTGGGTTTGGCCAATAGAAAGTCCCTGCAGGACCCTGGAGGATAATGTTAGGTGCTTTAGGATACTTTATCCCATTCACCTTACTTGCTAGGCCTCAGTCTGCAGGGTCTGTGTGCTTCACCCTTCAGGCACAACCCCTGTGGCAGCCCTCCCCTCCAGGCTTGTCTAGGTTCCTGTAACCACTCCCTTGCCCTCCTCCCTTCAGGTAGGAGGTAACAGCTCCCCCACTGGTGTTGGCTCCAGGGTGCTTCTCTTTCCCTTGTCCTTTGCCTCAGTTCTGCTCACCTTGTCCTTCTTTAAGGTCCCCTCTGTTACCTGTGCAGTGTGTATCTGTTTCCCACTGGGACTCTGACCATACAGAAACTTTTTCTGATTTGCTTCTAAAATAAGAACAGTCCCTGAATGAGCCCTGCAAGATCCTCTTAGGTGTTCTTCGTATGAGCTTTGTGACCTCTCTGGACTACTCAGGAATTTTAAAAATACACTTTCTAGGTTTTTGACTGTAATGCATGGTAGAGGGTACTGTGTTAGTGACTTCTCCATATGGGGAAATATTACTTACTGGAGTATTTTGAGAAGGAAGATAAGTATGTAAATAAAAGGAAACCAGGAGAGAGATTTTTATGACTTTTAGAAATTATATGGCTGACTGGAAAATATCAACAGTTTCAGAAAATGAAGAAATACCTTCCTGAATAACAGATTCTTGCTGGATCTTTAAGGTCAAGTGTATATTCAGGGGACATCCGGGCCATGTCTGGATGGGATTCCCTTAGATCTGACATTAGGAGTGCCTTAGATCACTAAGCCCACTAAGCCTGTGTGCTTCCAGGTCAGTAGCCTCTTTGATGCTTTTACTGTGAGGGTATTACGTGCTTGTTTATCCCCTGGGATGAGTATAGTGAAGCCCAAAGAGGCCCACGGCCTAGGCCCCAGTCATACCTCATGCCCAGGAGTGCCCCAGAGCCCAGCCACCCTTCAGCTACCCCTGAGATCAGCCTGCACGGCTCTGCTGCTGGAGTGCTCTCTGGATTCTCTTGCCTCCTCCCTCCCCTGGCCTAGTCAAACCTTAGTTTTGTTTAATTTCTACAGACCATTGAAGCATAGGTAACTCTAGGGAAAAATTAGAATCAAGAACTCTTCCTGGCCACCCATTTCCTGAAACACAGAAAGGAAACATTTCATAAAAGCTTTGTAAAGTAGACAAAAGGAAGGGGTAGGGGCACTCTGGCAGGCAGGGCTGGCCATGTGGCCTCTCACAGATGAGGGAGGTGAGATGGCACATGGGGGCTGAGGTCTCAGCCAGGGGCAGCACAGGCACAGCCCCTGGCCCCGTGTCTCTCTGGCCACTCCAGCAGAGCCATTGATCCTCTGCCCTCCTGGGCCAGGAGAAAACACCTGGGGGCATCCCCCCCATTTCCCATGCGGGAGACTGAAGCCAGAGAAGTGGAGAGTTACAGCTTCAGTGGAGAGACACTCATATCTTTACACCCTGGCTTCCTTATTCATGCCTCTTTCACTTCTAGGGATTTTTTTTTTTTTTTTTTTTTTTAATTTGGGGAGTAGGGACTGGGCAGTTGGAGATAGATTTCTTTGTTCCTAACTTGGCTACCTCCATTGATGTAGCCTTTATCAGTTTAACTTGTCCTTTTTCATCCCACACCACTCTGTGTCCCTCTGCCAAATGCAGTCAGCCGAGGCCCCCCAGCGTCCTGCCTGGCTGAGTTGCAAGAGGCCCCAGGCCCCTTCCTGTTCACTCCTGCTCTGTAGACACGATGCTATGGGGCAGACATGCAGGGACATGGACAGAAGAGGCAGACCATGGCTGGATGGTGGAGGGCCGGGGGGTCTGGGGGAAGCTTCTGAGGCCTTTCTGCGCTGTCCTTCTCACAGCAGAAGGTTCATGGTCCAGGTACTGGGATGGGGCCCAGGTGTAGTATGTAAGCCTGTGTCTTGTCTTTTCCTGTCCAGGCTGCCCATTGTTGACCAGAGTGTGCTGGAGGTGGCCATTGCTAGGGTGGCTGCCTCTAACCACAAAGAGAGGAAGGAAAATTCTCAGCCTGGGCACTTGAACCAAGTCCTCAGCAAGATGTTGCAAGTTCCTAATCTGGACCCCAAGGCCAGGGAGTTTAGGCATCGTCTGGAACCCAGACTGTTACCCACAAACGTAGACATTCAGGGGACCTACTCCCACCCCCCACGACACCAGAGCCTCAGCAGTGTCTCTGGCCTGGGTAATAGTCCCTGGGAAGTCCAGCTGCCACCTCTCTATGAATGACCCTGTAGCAGCTGTGCTGATAAGCCACTTCT